CCCTACTCCCCCTTGGTCGTGGCCCTTGGGCACGTCGTCCGACGGCCCCACGCCGGCCCTCCACACCAACGCCCCCATTCAGCCGGGCCCACCTTGGGGGGCGGGGGCTTCGGCGCCTCGGCGCGCCTCCCTGCCGAGCCAGCCAGGGGGAAGAAAAAGAAACCCAGTGGCATTTTTTTGGCCAGCTCCTGAGTTTAAAATTATCCTGGGACTGCTGAGCTACACACATATACCTTTTAGCGAAAAAGAAAGAGACTCTTTTCCCTTCTTGGTCCTCAACCAGGGTGCGGAGAGGGAGAAGCCTGTACTGAAGGGCTCCTTTGGAGAAGGGGCCGTCCTCGTCCTGTAGCTGGGGTGGGCGAGTCTCGTTCTCCTCCCCAGTGCCCTGAGAGGGAGGGGCCCTGGCTACCCAAGGCCCAGGAGAACCCCGGAGAGCGTGAGCGTGCCGGTGCCAGGGGCCAGACAGGGCCCACCGCGACCCTGGTTCCCACTGCGGGCCCTGCCGTGGGACACAGCCCAGGCCCTGCAGGGTTGGAAGGTCTGCCTCTCCCACCGCCCTTACCGTAACTTTGTACTGAGTGGTCTGTCCACATGAACCAGCACTGGAGAAGGCCAGGCTCTCAGCGGCACCCCCGCCCCCAGGAGCAAAGTGGTGGCAGAGGAGGAACGTACGGCCATGCCCCCGGGGGCCTGAGGGAACTTGGGACCAACAGGGCTCAGAGGCCCATGTTGGCTGTTCGCGTGTCTCACGAGCCTTGACAGCTCAGGGGTCTAAAGACTTGGACAAGGTCGCTTCACCCTGGAAAGGCACGGGAACAGCAGGGTCGGGGGCAACTCCTGGGCCTGGGAGACCTAGGGGACACTCAAACATCCAGGCCACCTACAGAGTCCACTGAGTGCTCAGAGCCCGGCCCTGCCCCAGGACCTGAGCCTTCAGAACTCCCAGAGAAACGCTGCCTTCAGCTTCACAGCACCTATCTGAGCTTGACTTCTGCAGGCTGGAACTCAAGACTTCTGACACGATGCGACTTAACCACGAGGGAGTGGGATGACAGGGATGTGCAGGGAGCAAAACCTCCCTGCTTTGCTGGGTGAGGCCGTGGGCGACTCCGCAGGCCCAGCCACTCCCTCCAGCAGAAAGGTGAACTAAATCAGGAAGGGCCAAGAGTGTCTCAGAGTGTCCCCACTCCCTTCTGAGTCATCCCAGGACAACCTCAGAGGCAGCAGGGTGGGGCTGGGGGCGGGCGAGTTGCCCCACCCCACCCCTGCCCCCGAGGCCTCCTGCCTGGTCACACAGCCCAGCCCTGCCCCTCTTGCCTTCTGTGCTCACACGTCTCCCACGTGGACAGAGCTCCTGCTGGACCGGACTCGGCGGGAGCCTAGCCGGCCTTCACGTTGCTCAGGGGAGCGACCTGGTGCCTGGGAGCCCTCTCCCAGCTCCATGCAGACTCTCCCACCTGCTGCCAGGAAACGCCCTCCCTCTGGAGAGCAACCACAGTGGCATAGAGGGAAGGGGGCTCACACCTACCTGTCAGAGGCCGGTGTCACTGCCCACCTGCTTTGGGCCATCAGTCTCCCCGAAGCTTGGGGGTCAGGAGCGCCCAAGCTGCCTGTGGCTCCTCAAGTTCCCGCTGCTGGGCACAGGCCCCCCTCCCCCAGGGCTATGCCAATGGGGTCTACTTCTCACTTCAGGCGCCAAGCTTCTCCATCTGAACCTGAGCCCCATAACGGTCTGGACAAGGACCCTGACCACTGGGGTCACTGGGACCTGCTGGAGACTCAGTGCTGGACACCCAGCACCCATCCCAGTCTCTGGATTTCTCTTCTGTGGCGGAAACTCCACCTCTGGGCCAAACCCGAGTTCAGACACCTGGGGTCCCACCCCTTCCAGCCGGCCTGGGGTGGGCAGTGGGGAAGGTGAGCTGGCGGCAAAGGGCAGAACCCCACCCATGCCAGTGCTGATGAAAGTTAACTCAGGGTCTCTCCTTCCAAAGTGACTCCCAGCGTACCCATCCCTCTCCCTGCAGGACAGGAGCTAACCGACCATCAACCTCGTCACAGCCCCGAGCCCCCAGAATGAACTCCACTCCCCCCTCCTTCCCCTGGGGAGGTGTGACCTCCAGCTCCCCCAAGTCTCTCCCCCCAGCTGGCTCAGGGGACAAGGTCATGCTGACAGTCAACATGCCCTGCAGGGAGGGGGCTGCAGGGAGGGCGGAGCACTGTTCCCACACCAGGTAGCCAAGTCTGAGGGCCCCGGGGATCCTGGGAAGGCTGCGCCTTGGTGTGGAGGGCTGATGGGCTGACGGGCAGCTGTGGCTGCCAGGCCAGGGACAGAGGGGACGGAGCACAGCTGAGCTTGCTCCCACAGGGACATCACTGAACCCCAAGTCAGGGCACACCCAAATACTGCTTCCCTACCCAGCCCCCAAGGGACCAGTACACAAATCCCCAGACTCTTGAATCGGTGACAAAAGGTAGCTAAGGGACCAAATGTCCAGCCCCAGAGGCTCTGGGAAACCGTGGGGGCAGGGTGCATTCCTCCAGGGGCATACGTGTGCCGGGGAGGGCTGCATCCCGGCGACTGCAGGGGCAAAGTGGTGCCACAGCTGGGCCACTGGAAGGGAGTCCAGACAGCATCACTCACGGAACCAGCCCTCTTCCGCCCCGAGCCACTGTCCACGCCCGAACACTCAAAGTCAAACAAGTTTTATTCAGAAAAGACCTCGGCACCAGACTAAGAAAATGAGCCCCCACTCCCCACCCCTGACCATTAGGGGCCTATTTATAAAGATGGGGAGCAGTGGCACAAGACGGAGGAGGCGGGGAGTGTAGTCGAGGTAAGGAGGATCCTGAAGTCCTTGGCCTTCCCCGAGGGCGGGGTCCGTCCTTCCGGCGCTGCCGCAGCTGCCGCAGTGACCACCTGGGAGAAGCCAGCACAGCTGGGCGCAGGGGACAGCCGGCAACCTGGCGCCTGGGCCTGGCGCCGGGCCGAGCTGAGTCGCCTGTGCATGTCCCATCCCCTTAAGGCTTCCCAGGTTGCACAGAAGGCCCCGCCTCCGCTGCCAGCTCAGCCCCGTCACCCACCGGGGGTCCTGCAGGAGTGGGGCTCCCGGGGGCACCCTGCTCTGGCCCTGCTGGGCCTTCTGCTTCCTCTCTGACCCCATTCTCACCCTCTTCGGCCTCAGGACACGCTGGGGAGGCAGGGGGCCAGGTGGGGGACAGAGTAAGGGGACCACCACTGGCTGCCACTCCAGTGCCATCCCTGGCACCCTGGTCCACCTTCCTTCTCTTCCTCACATCGTCGGCTACCTTGGCCCCCTCGGGCTGTGGGCAGGGCTGCTCGGCCTCCCTCGGGGCCTGGCTGTCCAATTCCTGGGTCCCCGCACTGAGGCTGCCCGGGCTGAGGGCACAGCCCTCCAGGTTCAGGGCGATCTTCTCCACCTCCGAGGCGCTTGGGCCCGGCTGCACTGGGGCCTGCTCCCGCAGGTTCACCTCCAACTTCCTCTTCTTGCTCTCCTTGAGGTTTGGAGACTCGGGCCCCTCCTCCACGCCGGCCTCATCTACCTGGTCCCTCTCCAAGGCTCCGGCCTCCTGGGACTCTGTGCTGAGCGGCTGGGGGCCCTCAGCCACATGATCCCCCTCTTCACCCCTCCGCGGCCCACAGATCTGCCCTTGGGCGTTGGCCTCGGGGAGGGGGTCCCCCGGGCTGTCCTCCCCCTTGGCCTGTCGGCGGCCAGCTGGCAGGGGTGAGCAGGGCGGAGAGCATGGCCTGAACTTCTGCAGCTTGTCGTGGGGCCCCCAGACGAACTTGTAGCGGGGCTGGAAGTGCTCCCAGGCGAAGTGCAGCAGCTCGCGGCGCTGGTGGCGGCAGCGCACGGTGAACACGAAGTAATCCAGGGCGCTCTGCCGCACGCCCGGCAGCTGCTGGCGCACCAGTGTCTCCTCCAGGAAGAAGCGGGCCAGGGGTGCCTTGTAGTGCTCTAGGCCCAGCTCACCCAGGGACTTGAGGATGCGGGTGATGCGCAGGTTGTTGTGGCTGTGCCTGGCGGGGGCACAGAGGGGTGCCAGCAGGGCTGTACGTCAGGGTGGGCGGTTCTCAGCCAAAGCCCACCCTCCTCACCCGCGCCACGCCACGCATCGCCATCCTTGCCCCAGGATCCTCATGGCCACTAACACAGACATTGGCCCACAGAGCCAGTCTCCACCCACCCCTGCTCACCCCCAGGGCCTCGCCCCAGTCCCCAAGGCAAGGGCCCACGGGCCTGAACTGTGTAGGTGAGGCTGTGATGAACCCTCTAGAAGGGTGACTGTCCTCTGGCCCCACGGAACACCCACCTCCAGCATCACTGGGGGAGGTCCACAAGGGGACCCTCTAGAGGAGGCGGCCCAGCACAGGGGCCTCAGTTATCCACAGGCAAGGGCGGCTGTGCTGTCAGTGGATTCGTGCCCTGTGCCTCCTCCCAGCCAGTCAGGAGTGAGGCTCAGAGCCGCTGGGAAGCTGATGGAGCCCCACTGGCAATCTGACCCATGCCCACGTGGCAGGTGGGCACGGCCAAGAAGCCTTTCTTCATCAGGCAGGGACCACCCCCAGGAAGATGCTCAGAGCCACAAGCACCAGCCCTAGAGTCCTTTTCCCTGGAAGTGCTCCCTGCCCTGCACCTGCCTGAACCTGAGACAGGCTGTGCTGACCGCCACGCTGCCAGGTGAGGTGGGGCCCAGCGCGGGAGGGGCATCCTCACCAGCTGAGGTTCTGGAAGCGTTTCTGGTAGTTCTGCGCCCGGCACACTCTGCCCGTGGCTCGGTCCTGGAGCTGGATCCCATAGAAACCCAGCATGAGCTCGTAGGCCTGAACCAGCCGCTCCCTGACCTCCTCGCAGTTTTGAAATGCCTGAAAAACACCCCCGAGAGTGGCTGAGAGCTCAGCGGCCAGCACAGCCAGGACGCCTCCCTCAGGGCCCGGGTCATCCCAAAGCCTCAGCTCGGACTCTCAGCGGAAAATGACCCCAGGGATGCAGGGACGCATTGATGTATTTCTCTCTTTACTCCGAGCCGCTGCAAGGTATCCCCGGGGCTGAGGCCTCCCTCTGCTGTATCCTGGGGAGGAATTCCTTGAGCCAAAGGAAAAGCTCAGGGACTCCCAGGACTGGGCATGGGGCAGGAAGCACCCACCCTGTCCCCTTGGTGCACCTACTCTGCCTCCTTTGTGTGTTCCTGGCTCCTGGAGACCCTCCTGACCCTCGAGGGCATCCCTGCTCCAACCCACACCAGGGCTGACCAAGATAAAGCCCACTCATGCTGGCTCTGCTCGCGGCCCCTGTCCTGTACCCCTGGACGTGGGCAACCCTCGCACAGTCAGATCTCTCTGCAAGGAGCACTGGGGGCCAGAGGCAAGGACCACTTGGGAGGGAAGGTCATTACACTAGGGGCTCCTCTGGCTCCTGCACTCCAAGCAGACACCTGTGTCCTGCTGTGACCCCTCCCTGGATGGCGGCCTCCTGCCTTCAGAGCTCACCTCAGCCTCCTGGACTGTGAGGGGCTTGGCATGCCAGTTCACCCCTGGCTCTCGCAGGGGAAACAGCCTGCGAGGGAAGAGATGACAGAGGCCCAGTCAGTGGCAGACGTGGGCGCCCAGCCACTCCATACTCACTGGCTGAGCAGCCTAGGGCAGCCCTCCGCAACTTGGGCTGGCTGGACCACACGTGCCACACACGCTGCAGGCTTTCATGAGTCAATAAAGCAAAGGGGTGAGGGCGGGAGAGCTCCAGGGAGGGCCCCGACAAGGCCCCAGAGCAGGCGAGGGGACAGAAGCCCCAGCCTGCGCGCTCAGCTGTAAGGGCACCTGCCAGCCACCCTGCGGCCCTGCGTGCCTTTCTGTTATTCTGCACGCCTTTCCCTCCCACCATCAGTGCCGCAGAATTATCCTCCGGGACACCCTGTGCCCCCGGGAGGCCCCCTGCGAGCCGTCCTCAAAGGATGCTGCATTTGTGGGGCTTCGAACCCTCTGTGGTCAGAGTGGCTCCGCGGACAGGCCCCTGGGGCCCCTTGCCGCACCGTCGCCTCCAGAGAACCAGCTTGTCTGCTGCTCTCCCTGACCGGCAAGTCCAGTGCCGGTTCTCGGCGACAGAGGCTGTTTACAGCTGAAGAACCCTGACTGCGAGACGGGGTCTCCCCGCCCCCGCCCCGCAGTTCCCGGGACTGGGCCCTGAGCGCAGCGTGCGCATGCTCAGAAAGCGGGCGCCTGGGCGGGGCCTCGAGGGCCGCCCAGAGCCACGCCCACGCCCACGCCCACTCACCACTGGATGTAGTGGTGATTGTCCTCCAGGAGTTCGTACTCCTCCCTCCAGTTCTGAAGAATGTCTTCAATGAAACAGCCTGTGAGCCGCATGGGGACAAGTCAGCGGGGGCTGCAGAAAGCCCCTCCCTCCGCTTTCTTGAGGACCTCGGGGTTTGGTAGCTTCAGGACGGCCCAATTTAGGCCGCCTGTCCCTCTGCAATCTGAAAAGCAGACCCTCACTGCTGACTGAGGGCAGACCCGAGTGGGCAGAGCATGCTGGGCACTCTGGGCGGGAGGGCCCGGGAGAAGAACAAGTGGGCCCAGATCCACACCTGTCTTTGCAGAAGGGGGGCCTGACTGCACTCCCCAAACCACAGCCTGCTACCTGGAACTCGGCCCTCAAACAGAACCTGCAGCCAAGCCCCACTCTGCAGTCTGGTCTCCTGCAGGGTAGCCCCTGTTTCTGCAAAGGGCCAGGAGGGGGATATTTAAGGCTGTGCAGCCATGTGGCCGGTGCTGTGGTGGGAACACAGCCACAGACAATGTGTAAGTGGACGGGCGAGGAAGGGTTCCAATAAAAGCTCACTTATGAACACAGAAATTTGAATTGCACATGATTTTCACATGTCAGAAAATATATCTTTAGTTTTCCCCAAGCATTTAAAAATGTAAAAGCCATTCTCTCTTGTCAGTTCACACGTGGGGCTTTCCCACTACAGCGGGAGGGCTAAGTTGTGACAGAGACCATGGGGCCTGCAGAGTCACCAACATTCACTGCCTGGCCCTTTGGAGCACATTGCCCAAGGGGTCCAGGACAAGGGCCGGGGCCTGGGTGGCCCCTCAGCAGCTTCCAGGGGTCACCGTGGGGCGATCAGAAAGCCACGTGTCCAAACTAGGTCCCAGCCAGGCAGAGGGCAGAGGATGGAGGGGAGCGCCCCAAGGACGGAGCTGCCAGCAGGCACTCACCGTTGGGCAGGAACCGGATCTCATTTCTGTAGAAACTCAGGTTGGGCATGTCACCATTGCCATCTTGTTCCACCAAATCCTGAAGAGCCAGAGAGGCGACAGTCAGTACACCATCAAAACCAGGCTGCCTCCAAGGGCCCCTCAGACCAAAGCATTCCCGGGGGGTGAGGGGGGCCTCTGCTCTCAGCCCACAAACCTCCAGACATCCTAAGTCTGGTGAGGACCCCGAGTGCCCAGCCTGGGCCCCTCACCCCTCAGGTGAGGACCAGCATCCACCCGTGGGGGACAGCAGCCTCCTCTAACCGTCAGCAACTACCTTCCCCTCCTCACCATTGTGGGCCAGGGCTGGGAAGTCCCCTTCATCTGCACCCCGAAGAGAGCCCAGTGGTTGCCTGGGACTCCTGGGTACAGAGGACAGGGGTTGAGGACCAGGAGACCATGAGATGGGTTAGGGGTGCCGGCCTCAGGTGGGCGCACTGCCAGCTGGCCCTGCAATGCATTCTAAAGGCAAGGGCACTGAGGTCGGAGTTAGGGCACCACGCTGTCACCCCACAACGAGGAGACAGAGCAGTAGCCCAGGCGGGGTTTCCGTTTGCCAGAGAAGAGGGGCCGATGGGACATCGTCCAGCTGGCCTTCTCTGGGAGGACCTGGTCCTGGGTGGGCTGCGGGGTGTGAGGGTGCTGCAGGCAGCTACGTACCGGGTAGTGGTGCCGGTACCTGCGCGTGTCCCGCGCAGCTCGCCAGTTTCTGGACCCCGTCACCCCAAACTGGGAAGAGAGGAGACTGGATGAGACCCCCAGGGGAGACCCTCCCCACTTCCTGAGGCAGCCAGCAAGCAGGACCCACCCTAGGGAGCCCCCATCCTGGGCCAGCTGTCAGCAAACTCAAAGGGGGCTGGAGCAGTTGGAGTGAGGCTGGCCCACTGCCACCCACTCCAGACCTCAGGACCCCTAGGCCAATGTGCATCCTTGGGGTGCAGTGCCCCCAAACTCATTTCACTTCTTCCTCCCGTGTTTGCTGGTCACCCTGGCTGAAGCACACCCCAGGACCTTCCTCTGGTAACCGCCTTCCCCAGCACTTCCTCCTTGCACTCTGTGTGCTCTAAGTGGTCACCACCAGGCTGTGTCCCCAAGGGCAGTGGCATTGTCACTTATAGCCCCAGGAGGGGTCCCATATGCTTCCCACAGGGGCGCTTCTCAGCAAGATGCCAGCTGGGCCAGCAGATGAAACCGAACTCGGCAGAAGTGGGCCCCGCCCCTCCATCAGTTTCCACCTCTGCTCCACCCCGGTGCCGGCCAGGCACCTCCCTCAGCTCAAGGCTACAGGTCCTGACCAGATGCTGGCCATGGGAACGACTCAGAGCAAGACCAGCCCCACAGGTGCACATGTGACACAGCCTGGATGAAGCGCTGAACAGCCTCACTAGGACCCAGTGTGGGGCAGGCAGAGAGGACCACAGGGCTCCTGGGGGGAAGGGGAAAGGATTGAGACTTTGTAGAGGTACAGAAGCCACAGCAGAAGGGAGATAGGAAGAGGTCAGATTCCTGCACTGTGAACCTGCCCGCTGCCCACCCTACCTCCTGGACGAAACTGTGCCTGCCTGAAATACTGTAAATGTGCCAAGGCCGCGGGCCTTCCAGGCAGGCCCAGGTGCCCCTTGGGGTCCCCCTTGCTGGCCACTCCAAGACACAGAGAGAAACCTGAAAACCAGAGCTCTCCTCCACTTCAGGGAGAATCCATACTGGACACAGGCTGGAATCCAAACCTCTCTACACATGGTGCCAAGACACCTTTGTCCCAAAGCAAGTGGGACACAGGGTGACAGCTATCACTCAGGGCCCTCCCTCTCACCTGGAATCACAGCAGGAATGCAATGCCCAGAGAGTTTTAGTAACAGCTGGTAATGGTGAATAACCATGGTCACGACAAGTAACTAGTGGCGACAAAAGTAACCACTGGTTACAAGTAATCAGAGGTAACAAAGTAATAACCAATAATGACAAGCAACCAGTGGTAACAGTGCATAACCAGTGGTGACAAGAGTAACTGGTGGGCATGGCCAGCCCCCCTGGCTCAGGTAGGCCACCTCCAAGACAACATGAGGTCAGCTCCAGCAAGAGCGGGTGGGAACTGCACCCAGTGCGGGTCAGCAGGGGTGGGGCAGACGGGGGGCTCCTTGGCCTGAGCCAGCCTGGAGCCTTGGGTAGGGTCAGGGTGGAGAAGGGAGCGCCAGGAGGCTGAGAGGCTGGCGAGAGCAGTGGAGGTGGCCAGTGAGGAGGGCTGGGATCTATTTAGAGG